TCCAGGTATTGGCGGGTGAAATGGTAAAACAGTTTGAGGCAATGTATATGCCACCGCCACGTAAGACTTTCCCATTCAGCAGCATCAAACACGTTCTCCATGCTATGAGGAATGGGGACTTTCCGACGACGAAATACTGCTAATGCTGGGCAAGATGCCGCAGCCCTTCGGAAGTCAGCAAGGCGAGATCGATGTCCATATTCAATACCATATTCCTAGTGTGTCCATATCAAGTCTCTGCCACAGGGACCTAAAAACTTGCATCAGCACCTTACACAATAACATATTGGCGAAACCAATGCCATGATATCGCCTTCACTCGAAGTAGAGTCCTCTTCAGTTTTCTGTTTTCCTCCTTGCCTGGTGCATTTGATCATCACATGGATCATATTCTGGTCAAAAGATGCGAATAAAGCATCTGAGCCATCTTCAAAATTGTGAATATCCCGGAAAACCTCGCGAACTTCCGAAACAACAACCGGTTGCGTGCTTTCGACCTTGCTTGGTGCGACACATTTTCCGCTGTCTACCATCTTTGCCGGAGAGCACAGTTTCATGAAGGAAGTCCTGCCCGAATATTGGAGGTTGAAGTTATGTTTTGGGAATGGCTCCATAACTTTATCACAACCGTTATCCGCTTATTTTCTCGGATACTGTATCAGACTTATCGAGAAGCCGGAGCAATTAGTATTCACTCATCTTCATCTGTAGCATATAAATATGTGTCTTTGTGTTCAGTCGCTTTTAATTCTTCACCCACAATAATCTAGTCACTGTCTTTGCATTCATCCCCAAACTCTTGGCCATTATACTTTCAAAATCAAATGAAATGCTTTCGGCAGCGATACTACGCCCGCCGAACATGGCTTCCGTCAGACCGACCTTAACCCTTTGTGGGTCTTACTCAATGTGTGTGAGGGGTGGTCACGCAAACACGCATACAAACAACGAGCCATAACTCAAGTTCCGTGAGTTGTAGGTATGGGTAAACTATATATTTTCAAAATCTGTATGCCTGGACGCGTCCAGAAAACACAAATATGACTATGTCCAGGCAAGGATATGACCTGTGGTAGCCCTTCAAGTTGAGAGAAAATACAATTGCGAACAATAAAGCACGAAAATCACAGCACGAAGTGCATACCAAGTTCGTGATGGAGCTGAAGTCTTATGATAAACAATCAGGTAAGCGCTACGTCTTGGTGAAGAATATATGCTCCTAATTCCGTCCTTGAACTCCAATACCTCGCCATCGGCGATGCACCAGCAGCAACAGTTCCACAATATCACAATTTTGGTTCGTTCACCTCAGCGCCGCTCGCGTCAGATTCACTCTCGCTCAGATGAGTACTCAGGCGCGATGTCACGCGTGCCGTGATTCTCACGGCCAGGCGAATCAGCTGATCGCACCTGACAAGTCCTTGTAAGAGTTGCTGTTGCTGTGCTTCCTCGCTGGTTGGTAAATTTGATTTCTTCATTCGGGGACGATTTATTTGAGCTAGGAGGACTCAATGGAGCTCTCTTTCTCACGACATTACACTGGAAATCCTCCAGGGACATCCAGCCTAGACTGGTGCCGTCAGTGTCCTCAGAAAGCTTTTCTGACACGGCTTCAAGAGATGCACTCCCATTCTCGAAATGCGCGCATGGCGGATGGTCGTCTTTTCCAATTTCACCAGACTTCAGTCGATCGATACTGCGAAAATTTGTATGGTAAGTATGGTTGTTTTTTACACCGTTGGAAAGCCTGGGACCTCAGCTACGAGTGGAGCACCATTTTAGTTGTCTCCTAGCAACAAAACTCACAGAAAAGGCGATTTTACTGTAAGGGTCACATACGACCCTTACGCTTATGTGAGACCCATAAAGGGTTAACTCAAAGGAAGTTCCAAGAATATTAGACCTGCCCTGGCACTTCACAACATACAATCCTGCAGATGATAGTGGATCACTTTTCACCACTTCGGGCGAACAAATTTATCTGTTTCGACAAGATTCAGGATTACGATATTATCCATAACTTCACGTAGATTATGGATATTAGCATTTTCCAATTGTAGAAATTCCCACCTTCATGGTCCCCCATCTACTTGCTCCTCAACGTTTTCTTTTTTACGCTATTCATGTGCGCTTCTGAGGCGAATTTGCCCTCCTATTGATGACTGTAGTATGTTGAGTCATATGATGCCACGCGGTAATTCTAGGTAGCACCCCCTTGCATTTCGGAACAGTACACAATTTGAGGAGATATAGCCCACGCCCGCTAACACAATACAAAATAAATAAAAGTCCCAACATTTCGGGATTCCAACCCCTTTTTTACTACCATTAAATTTTGAAATTCTCAAATGCATCAGATGATGCCTCTGGTAGTTCTAGGGTTAATGTTGGAGATGACTTTATATGTTCTACTTGATCCGATTTATTAAAACGTGCGCTTCACCTCAAAACTTAAGCATATGTACAAAGGAGCACCAAAAAATCAACCAAGAGACGGTAGACAGATAACTACTGTGTCGTTTCTTTGCCTGACCTTCCAGTTTTCATCGCTTCTGGTGTCTCAGAGCGCATCTGCAAAGGCATCAGCCTGCAAAACGTCGACCTTTTTCACCTCCTCCAAGCTACACTGCGCCTCCTTGTTTTTCCACTCCATAGGCATAATTTAGACGATCGACTTCGCCCCCTCCTCGTGAAGTATGACTGCCAGAATGGTGGTTGTAGGTGTTTTAGCCTGACGCTCCCACGACACCATCAACTGAGGCGAACAAGTAAACCACCACGCGTAAAAAATCACTTCTCATCACCGGGTGTCGCGCGCTTACTGTCACTACTGAGTCTGATCTGTGTCGACATGTCATGCAGTCAGACCATGCGGGCTCTTCCCTGCCTGTTTCACGAATCCAATGGCCCTGGAGACTGTCGACTGGCGATCTTGTGACGCATTGCGATCGCGGGTCCGAGGACTCCACACCGTATCCGCTTGATAATTCACCCTTTCTGCTCTTCAGTTTTCCAGCTAGGTTGGCGCCTGAAGGTCGACCTCAAGGCCGTTTTTTTATTTCGATCAACTTCTCGACGATCTCTTCCATGATCTTGATTCAGCGGCCGCCACATCGTGAACGACTGCGAGAGAGATCAGCAAACTGGACGGAGCGATTGTGATGCTTTCTGCACAAGTTTCTGGATGACGCATTTGCTGAAATTCTGCCATGGAAACGATTGCCAGGCGATTTCAATCCGCCAGGAAGCACTCGAGAACGATCGCCCAGGAGTTTCGGATACTGAGTGACAATCACAAACCGCAGTGGGGTGTTGATTTCAGCACCAGGCCTTCTCTGTGTTGCGCGAGAAGCAACAGGACTCCTCTGATGGCAAATGTTGGACGCAAAAATCTTGAGTCGACTAGGATCATGAGCCGCTGCCTCCTTAGGAGTCGGAGCCATTTCTTCTTCAACATCACAAACTTACAATTGAAGGATAGTGTGAGGGAGCTGAAATGTTTATTCCGTCCTGAGATTACTTGAATTTGTTTGGTTGACGTTCGAAGCAAAACGCACATTTTAATAAATCGGATCCAGAATATAATCTTTTCAGGTTGCTTGTTTGTCATGACTGAATGGCTTGGATTTCTTCTCTCTATAGCATGTTTTGCTTTAAAATAGCTCCAGAATGGTGGTGGCCATTCGTTTGTTGTACATGTATATCCGTGTGTCTGTGGGTGTGGTTGCTTTATGCAGAGATTACATGCACTTCTCCATTAACAGCACCAGCAAATGGTGCTGTAACCGTCGGTGGTAATCTATTTTCATCAGTGCGTCAGTACAGCTGCATGGAAGGTTATCAAATGAGTGGTACGAGTTACACAATATGTCGAGCCGATGGGTCTTGGTCAACTGCCAATCCAATGTGCACACGTGAGTATCATACTCTCCGCACTACTATTCTTCGCATATAGCTGGTACTAGTATCCTGTAGAGAGTGACTGACGAGAAGCAAGGCCCTGGGCATTAAAACAAATCAAAATTCGCACAGCAGGAAAACGAATGAAGGAGATGGCGAGGTGCTGCCGCGACGCTTTCCCGTACTTCTCCCCAAGAAGAACGCTTACAAACGTTTAGCCATGGGTGGACCAATCAGAGCTCAAGATATAAGTTGCACTCTGTTGGTTCGTGTATTCCCAACAGTTTTCACTTTGTAGGAAGCTCGGGTCCAATATCATAACCTAAGTAAAGGAAATAGTGGTAACGACTTCGGCGATGTTCACATAGCTTTTCCGTTGACGTGATTGGAGGAAGTTAATTGTATGTTGTCATGACTGAATTTCAATCCCATTGCTATGATAGCTATCTGAAAGTTGGAAATTGTTGCAATATGCTTGGACTTCTACTCTGCATAGCATGTTGTGCTTGTAAAGAGCTCCAGAGTGGTGGTGGCCATTCTTTTGTTGTACATGTATATCCGTGTGTCTGTGGGTGTGGTTGCTATATGCAGAGATCACATGCACTTCTCCATTAACAGCACCAGCAAATGGTGCTGTAACCGGCGGTACTAATACATTTTCATCAGTGCGTCAGTACAGCTGCATGGAAGGCTATCAATTGAGTGGTACCAGCTACACAACATGTCAAGCCAATGGGACTTGGTCAACTGCCAATCCAATGTGTACACGTTAGTACCATACTCCCCGCACTACTTTTCTTTGCATTAAGCTGGTACTAATATCCTGTAGAGAGTGACTGATGAAATGCAATCCCTGGGCAATCCAACAAATCGAAATTCGCGCAACAGGAGAGCGAATGAAGGAGATGACAGGGTGCTGCAGCGACGCCTTTTCTACTTCTGTTCATTATTAATTTTGCGAATGGGTGTTGCTACTGATGTCGTAGTTCATGTGCGTGGGTGATCACATGAGGAACTTCCATGATTGCTTTCCCTTTGCTTTTTCTTCTTCAACAGGAATTCTGTGCTCGGCACCGATCCCATCACTAACAAACGGAGGTGTAGAAATGGGAGGGACCACATATTTGACAGTGCGTGGATTTTTTTGTTACCCAGGCAACGCCCTCAGTGGAAGTAGGTACACTGTCTGTCAGGCTGACGGTACATGGTCAACAGCAACTCCAAATTGCACAGGTAATGATATTTGGGAAATGTAATTTTGGTGCATACTTCAAGTACATGGAACAGAGAAAAAGCCAATAACGCGTTCCGCTGAGATGTGAAGTTTCTTGTTATTTATACAAGTCTCTAGATAATTATACCTCATTGCCCTTATGTCCACAGCAAACACATGCTGGAGTCTATCAGCCCCTATCAATGGATATGTTTACATGGATGACACGACTTTTGGTTCAAAGGCAAGTTTCAGCTGCAATGCTGGATATCAGCTGACGGGTGTGTCCAGTGTTACGTGTCGCACCGATCGGACCTGGTCTGCAATCAGTCCAAGATGTACAAGTAGGTAACAAGCACTATTCGATACATAATGTTACACTTTTCTTAGCATTATACTAGTGTGAGAGCAGGTTCAAAGACCACCCGGTGTCATTCACAACAAGATACAGACGGAGTTAATTCTCCCTGAATCACCTACAACAATAAAAAGCCCAAGAAATGCATATTGAAGATAAAGGGGAATATACCGTACGCCAGGATTCCCTGGTAACTTTGACAGAACGTTTCTAAAAGCATTATTCACCATATCAATGGGTGTCTTCCTGAATGTGTGACCAAACAAACGTTTGAATTTTTGACATCAACCAAAAATGCCTCGTCATCTACAATGCACCTCCTTCTTGGGGCTCTCCCTTTCGATCTATGGGTGGGGACACCACACACCATGGTAGGTTTCTACTGGCAGAAATGTGGGTGGCGTCCTCGTGGCCTACTCGCCCCCTGGCGCCTCCTCTGATCAGCACTGAGTCTGATTATGTACTCTGGCCACTAGATACCAGGAGCTTATAGAGATTTTTTCGTATGCAGGAAGTACACCTGAGAAGTGTAGGACTGGCACCATTCGTGGATATTTAAAAAGCGTTCTAAATTAAGCCTACTTCGAAGTAGTTGACATTCGATTCAACTGTCACAGTACAGGATGCAATGATCTGTTCTGTTTGATGAGATTATGAGGAAGATATTGCACGGTTTGCACAACAGAACATGTAGCAGTTGTTGCGATGTTCAACGTCGAACGGCCTGAATCATCGATCATGGTCCGTGACAGAGTGACTTTCGAGCTTACCTTGCTTTTTTTAATTATTTCTCTTCCAGTGATGCACGGTAGTACAATAGCGTTCTCATTTCAAGTGTTCACATCAGGCGCCGTCAGAAAGTCCCATCGGTTCCCATAATTACCTCTATCGTGTCCAGTTGCAATACTTGGAATGTGAATGATGCAGGCGGTCTTTGGCGGAATTTTACGGTACTGTGAGGATGAAGTTTGTGGCATGTATGTAAAAATGAATGTATGGTTTCAAAGATTAAATTGAGTAGCGTAACCAAACTAGATTTTCTGGAAGGGTGTCAGGTGCAGGGTCATTGATATGGCGATTCTGTAAAACAAAGTACAGTGGTGCTCACTGAAATCCAGTCGTGTAATTCAGGTTTGCTCCTTGCCTTATTCTGCAGCACAGTGTTCGCTGGTCACTGGCTGCGCACCGCCAGGCACGTACTTGAGTGGTGTGACTGGATTTCATCGAGCAACACTATATGTTGTGTGTACACTGTATTCCCTTGCAGAGATCACCTGCCCAGTGCTGGCTACACCGCCCAATGCAATATTATCTGCTGGCCCAGTGGATTTCCAGGCCAAACGTACATTCTCCTGCAGTGATGGATATACCCTGTCGGGGGATTCACAACTGGTCTGTCTTTTGAATGGATCTTGGTCTGCCCCGTTTCCAACCTGTTCCAGTAAGTGCTTGTGGACATTCCACTCTCACCTTTCAATCACATCAGGATTAGTAAATATTCTCGCATGACACTGGGTGTGATCCTCCATTTGCTGGGGCCTTAATTTAATTTGGTACGTATTTATTTATTTATTTCTGCACCTCGTGGCATGTTGAGACAGCCAATTCAATTGAGGAGAGGGTGAGACCGACCACAGAAGAAGAGAAAAAAGAAAATGAAGAGCACGTACACAAAGTGGGAAGGGATTAGCAACTTACAAAGCAATGGGATGCTCATCGAGCTATGCAGCGGAAATGGGGACTGTGACTTTGTTTACTGGGAGATACTGAAGTGCTGTCTGACGAGGGTACGGAATTTGGGCATATCTGGACCTTGTCTAACACTGGGAGGCAGTTGGAGCCACGTGGAGTTGGAGGAAAAGAAAGGGGAATTTACGCAAAGGATAAACCTAGCTAGGGGGAGACGAACGCAGCTTCGGGTGGTGCCACCTGAATTGAATCAATTAGGGGACTGTAAATGAGTAGGGGGCTGGTCAAGAAAAATTGAAGGTGCCAGGGTGCACTTGGAAGCATCAAGGTAGTGTGGCAGAGTGGCAGTGGATGCAGCAGCATACAAGTCTAGATTTGAGATATAACGATCAGTTAGAAAATATGATGCGCAGTATACGGCGATGGAGAACTTCTTATTATTTACCGCTGTGGGGTTTTGCTAATGGTGGACCAGGCAGGGACGCCGTACGTGAAGAGTGGAAGAATGTATGATTTATAAAAAATAATCCGGCAAATTTGGGGCAAATGGGACAAGTGACTTGACATTATGCCGACTGATCGGCATACTTTGGGCGACACATGATCAGCATGGTGAGACCAGGTGAGGGCGGAATCTATGACAATGCCAAGGTGTTTATGGTGGGGCGCTACAGAGAAAGGGTATAAACCTGAAGGATCGATTGCCTTGTCATGGATAGTGAAACTGGCCGAAATCGATGAAAGGCACAACCTGACATGCTGCATGCGAAGTTTTGGTTTGGATGCAGGGTACAAGGATAAAGCCCTATCTTTTTTACCCGGTTCCATTGATCTCACCACGGATGAGTATAATCTTCAGTGGAAAAGCGAGGCCTTCAGCTGACTTGCATCGAGTGGATTAAAACTCTCAAATATCCCGTTCAGCGGTAGCTATCCATGGTAACCACGTTCTTTGCAAATTTTCCCTTAGTGTGCCCTAACTTCAACTGGCTTTCTTTGAGTTTCCTTGTTTTTTTATTGCGCTATAAAGTGGAGTGATACCCTAGATCTGGCCTGATGCAGCTCTGGCCCATGAGCGGGGCTGACAGACTGCCAGAAGCGAATGGCGACAAAAAATAGCTTATGCAGGTCAGATTTTTTTCATTGTGCATATCCAGTGAAGCCGTGATGAAAAGTAGGAAAAATATACTCCTGGTTTATGATCTGAGGATTGTTCCCTCAATGTGACTGGACCCTTCAGGGCTCACCACGACCATACAAAATTCTAAAAGCGTCGACCACCATTTTGAAAACATGGCGACGCCGCCAAGGCCAGAGTTTGTGCAGTCATAGAGGCTACGCACCCGAGTTCATGTTCATCGATGTACAGCGATGTACAGTCTAGTCGTAAAATACCGGTATTTTAAATACCGGTATTTTACGACTCCCTGGTCTACTCTGTACAGCGAAGGGCTAGTGCAGTAGCGATTCTTGTTGTTTGATGCTGGGCAAGACACGCGGAGAAGACGTCCTTTCTCCAAGCCATCTCGGTCATTTTTCTCAACCCGCTGGTGAGTGTCGACCAAGATATGTCCGTGAGGTACTGGTGAACTGGACTCCTGGAATCTACCAGAATTAGACGCGCCTAGCTGACCAATGTTTTCAGTAGAACTCAGGGTTTCCTGACCGCGACTCGGCACACTATTTTTTGTTTGGCCTCGCAGCTTTCACGCTGCGAATGGGGAGTTTCCTGGCCACAAATGAATCCCTTACTGCCTTAGTCATGACTATGATGAGAGGTGACAGGTAGGATCCCTGACTGGCATGAGTCCTTACCTTGAGTCAACACGAAGGTAAACCCTTCACTTGGAACGCTTGCTGTCTCCTCCGTCCTTTCTTGTTGCACTTGCAGATATATATGCGAAAGGCTGCCAGTTTTTGTTGGTGCGCGCGGCGACGTACGGCCAAACTTGATGTCTTCAAAAAGCAGAACAGCGGTTCTCCTTGGCCGATTTTCACCATCGATAGCTCATTTTCAAGGTCTTGGAATTCTCTTTCGGTTAACCGTCCCCGATCTTTAATTTTCTCTTCATTCACTTGTTCGCACGCCCTCTCGTTTGAGTGATTTCACCATCCGATCTCAGCCAAACGAAGGCCAAATCGAAAAATTCGAGACGGTAACCCTCCAAAGACACACCTTCTGAACACGAATCTGCAATGGCCTAATGTCTAAAAGCAACAAATACAGCCAAGCTCCACTCAGGAAACACCCCACAATTGCAAGACACAGCCCGTTTTGCCGTGCGCTGATTGGTAAAATCCAAATAACCGTTATTGACGCTTTGTATGGTCATGGTGAGCCCTGCCGTTAGACCAGCTTCAAGAATCAAAGAACAGATGCAGCTACTAAAAATTTACATAATATACGGAAATCGGTTAATGTTTCCTGTGCATGGCTTTCCTTGTCCTCTAGAAAATGTGATGGCATTAGGATAGCAGTGGTGTCAAAAGTATCACCGAAGTCGTACCAACCTCTTTTTCACAATGGTGACAAAGCCTCCAAAATAATTATATATCATACAGGTTACCCCACATTGCATTTGCTTGTGTGTTCGTGCATTCGTGCCCGAAATCGATTTCTCCTCCTTGCGAGGGATTAGAAAAGGGGAAAGGTCTTCACTGTGAACATCAGTATTCGTATATGTTTTTGAATGTGTACTAGACTGATAAAACAGACCCACTCGTTTGACTGTTCAATTTACCTCGACATGCTCTGGTTAAATCCAGATGTAGTGTTGGTCAGTGATATCACTGCGCAACACTACATCTGGATTTCACTGGATTTGTTGTTTACCTGCGAATGATCGGCAAAGTCACCCAGTATCTGCAATATGTTCATTTTTGCAGACCATCAAAAGCAAGCGCGGTGCAAAAGAAAATTGATGTATGGGTTCATTTGAAATTGAGAGGCAATACTTGTTGAAAGTTGGCATAAATGCGTGAATGTGTGAAAAAGCAGTGTCTGTTCATACTTAGAATGCATAAAAATGTAAATTTACACAACTTTCTTTTTCTTTGGTACAGAGTTGGCCGAATGCGCTCCGCTAATCATTGGCAATGCCGCTGTATCCAGTGGCCCATATAGAGTGAACAGCATCGTCAACATCACATGTAACGCAGGCTTTGAGCTCTCAGGAAGCGCAGTGGTCATTTGTCTGGACAGCTTGAAATGGTCTTCCTTGCCGATTTGCAACCGTAAGTGCCGAGTCATTACTGCTATTCGAGTAGAAAAGTGTGAAATTCATATATCCATATGAATCTAACACTTCCCAACGACCTGTTTGTCTTGTTCTTGTTTTGTCGACTTAAAGGAGTACCACTACTACCAGAATGCCCTGTGCTGGTTGTTTCCAATGCAACTGTGTCAAGCGGCTCAAATAAAGTTAACAGTATCCGCAGTGTCTCATGTAATGCCGGCTTTGAGCTCTCGGGCAACTCAATGGTCATATGTTTGGCCAGCAAGAGTTGGTCCACCTTGCCTGTTTGCAACAGTAAGTGTTGTCTGTTCCTGAATCGATCTTCTGTTTCGATCTTCAGTGAAATTTCCAAACCCAAGGTACAATTGCCATAACTAATTATCCATCATGAGGAAATGCTGATTTTGTGAGTCAGGAGCTACAGCCCCCTACATGACATTGTACATGTATGTAGTGCGTATGTGCACGGCGCGCTGAGTCGTTTGACACCCCACTCGCATACAGTGCATGCAGTATCGGTCATAGTAATATATCGCTTATAGTGATAATAATAATAATAATAATAAAACAGGTCGCGTAATGAAGCAGCATAACGATAGATGTGCAAAGTCATGATGCCTGGTCCGCTTCTGTCCTGGGTTCACTACCCCGTGCGTTGCAGCCGCGAGCGAAACCAGCTCAGGCTGAGAGTTCCCTCCATGATTGCTTGTCCAAAGCGCGCATTCTGAGCCCACTCAGATCAGTCATGGTCTTCAGTGGCATGTCTCTGGCAGCTGTGCTTGCCTTGGCTGCCGTGGCCAGGTTCGATTTCGGGCGTCCACGCACACCAGTGACATCTCGACGGAAGTAGTTGTCCATTGCCTGCTGTGGCGGGGCATCTGAGGGCATCCTCAGAACATGACCCAACATCCGGAAACGGCGGACAGCAACGGTGTGCGAAAGTGGCTGTGTGTGTGCTCTGGAATATAGGTCTTTGTTGGAGATGATGGCAGGATACCAAATTCCGAACAGGTTCCGTAGTTGACGTCTATGGAAGGCGTTCAGCTTCTCCAGTGCAGCCTCTGTCAGTCCCCAGGTTTCGCAGTTGTATAACAGTGTTGGTAGGACGATGGCATTGTAGAGACGAAGCCTGGTTTCCTCGGATGCAAGTTGACGTCGTATCCAGAGCGAATACATGCGGCCATACGATGTTGATGCTTGGTCCATTCGTCGGCTCAAGTCCTCCTCTTCCCTCAAGAGAGAGTCAAGTTGCTTCGATCTTCGCCATTCGGTGGTGGAGGCAGAGATGTGAAGCCACTCTGTGTTGCTGCTGTTAACGTTGAGTGACCAGTCACCCAGGCCGTCAGCTATCACGGGTATAGACCCAGGCCGTCAGCTATCACGGCTTATTAATATTTTGCTCTATTCGCGTTAGCATCAGTGAGCTTATAAAGCTCACATATAGCCTTCGCTTAAGCCGCAAGAAGGAGCAAGTGAGCGCGAGGAAGCGCAATGCACACAGAGCGTCAAAACAAAACAACAAAAAAAAAACAGAAAAAGAGACAAGCTGCAAGAAGGAGCAAGTGAATGCGAGGAAGCACAGTGCACATCAAGCATCACAATCGCCAAAATGACAAGATGGAAACGCAAAGTTATGTCCATTGTTGCATTAGCGGCTACATACAACCTTCACCAGGTCCTGCCACTGAGGGCGATCCTGGGCGAGCTGCTGCAGCCTGTTGCAGTCATCTCCATTATCTATATATAAAGGTATAAATAATGTCCATTGTTTCATTAGCAGCTACATACAACCTTCACCAGTTCCCTCCACTGTCGACGGTCTTGGGCAAGCTGCTGCAGCATGTTCAAGTCATCGCCAGTCTCTTGAGATCATTAATGAGTATCAAGGCTTATATTGATAAATGCTCAAAATCAAACACCAACGCTATAGGCGATACTGATTGTATACTGTAGCTACTTTAAGTTTTGAAGAAGTGCTAGCGATGACATGTAAAATGTGTATAAGCGCAGCGAAAAGTGCATATATTTAGTCCCACGGCATCAATAGGTGTCGACATTTACAGGACTGTATTCAGTTTTGGCTCAGTATTCGAATTCGAATGTTTTTTGTTTTATTTTTGTTTTGTATTGTGCACGCACTCATTATCTAAGCCTATTAAATGAGGCGTGGGCTATTACGGAATATTTGATATTTTTTCTCAACCATACTGACATACTTCCCAACTCATACCTGCACAGGAATGTTTTCCCTTCCCATACCCTTAGTCAATCATTTTCACTCTAACAATACTTAAAACGCTGCAGAACAAGTTATGGATTTCCATCACCTAAGCTTCTTTTATAATGCTTCCACCGGTAACTAAAAAATCGTGATGGATTTTGATGGATTTGAAAACGCTCAGAGCAGCTAAAGAACAGCTTGTATCGACTGTAAACCATGGACGAACGTAGTTCAGCCTATGTACAGCGTCTTTACTAGAGAATCTTTTGGCAGAATGAGCAGACAGTTCAGTTTGCGTCGCTTTCACTCGACTCATTTTTGACCCTGCGTCGCTGTCGTAATCTGCTGCACGCGAGTCGTCATTTCTCTCTTGTAGCTGTTCAGCTCGTTTCAGCCTTGACTCGGCTTCTTTGATCACCCTCCGCTGAACTTGATTTCGCTGTCGTTCAAGTAAATTGACTCTCAAGGTGCGTGATCCACCGCGGTGGCCATTACTCGCTTCCACCAGGAGTCATGAACATATTTTACGACTCCCTGGTTTCATCATCGCCCTCCACAACTCCCCGAAACGAGGAGTAAGGGCACAACCAAACTTATTCCATTTTCACTAATGGATACCCCTGCCAGCACTGACCGGCAGCGGCTAGCAATTCCAGTCGACTTTCTTTAGCCACGAGACTCGTGTCGGACTGCTGACTTCTGAAAGAATGCATGGTCATCAGCATTTGAATCTGGGCTTTGCGGAGGTTGAACAAGAACTTGAGTTCATAATTGTATAATTGTGCCGTGCGATCGGAGCAGCTCCTTGTTCACTCGGTCATTGTGTAGGCTCACTGCCTCTTTCCGTCCCTCTCTATCACTCTCACACACAATGCTAGAGTAGTAGAGAGCCCAAGCAGCGCATTATCTGATTAGACAAATGGTAATTTAGTTTCAATCCCCGTGACTGTCATACCCTATGTTGCCACATCGCAACCATCGATTCCACACGCCTTGTTGTAAAAGGTCGCTTTCCTTGCATGGAACCTCTTTCATGGCATACAAGGGAAGGTTGAGAAAGTGATTGCGACTTATTTTACGACAGTTTGTGAGCAAACAGGTCCCTTAAAAAAAATCCATCACGAAGTATTTGTTAACGGAGGAAGTAGAAAAAATCACATCGAATCGAGTTATGAATTATCTTTTCCCGCCTGTAACAAGATAAGAAGCAGTTAGAAAGTGCGATAACAGGGCATATACATGTTCACATTCAACGACCTGAGACCTAGCTTTTCACACACCTCTAGAGCGCAAACCAACAGCCTTCCAGCTTGGATGGTTCATGGTTATAATTATAATATTATATTCCTTGGTTCAGCATCCGAGTTAAAGCATCTTTTAAGCTTCTATTTGCGCCAGCAACACGTTTGTTACGACCATTGATACAAACTTGAGTGCATTCTTGCTCGCACATTTTGACGGGAAGAGGAAAAGTTGTATTTGAACAGCCTCCTCCTCTACTCCTCAGTTCTATTTGTATCTGCCCCCTCCAACCGCTGCAACTAACATTCCAATTACTCAATTCCAGGGTTTTGCATGTACCATGCACAGCACTGCACTGCTCTCAAAAACAGTTTAGATGCAATGGGTACCCATTTATCGGAAGCCTAATTTTCAAAGTCTCGGTTGCGACATACTCATCTGGATGCATCATTAACCTATGTTTACATTATACTGTAAAACCGAAAAGTCTAATTACCAAAACGAATTTGTAATTTTGGCATGATAACGTGCAGAAAATTTAAAGATGGCTACCTGGCCACCAAGAATATGCATCGATGTATGCGCATTTTTACCCACTGGTTTCGGGATAACGTTTCTTCAAATAGCGAATAAAGATTGATCGTTAAAACGTAAGGCTGTATGACTCGTTAGACTTTCCGGTTTTACAGCAACCTTGTTTGTTGTGATCTCGAGCGATCTGGATTTCGCAGACTAGCACAGTTGCTTAAACGTAACTGATCGTGCAGTCTAAAAATCGAGACTTATCGGTAGGGGTGAAACAATTATAACGAATACTCGAGTACTCGCTCGGTTTTTTCAAAAATAATCGAATTTGGAATAAATCAGAGTACTCGTTCATAGATGGTACGGGCATTTACCACAGAAATCTGCAGTTTCAGAGGTGCAGTCGGCAGATATTGATGTGCAGAGTGTTTTCACAAGTAGAGAGAGCCCAAATGACCCACCAACTAATTTCCGCGAGAAAAATAACTTCTACTCGGTTCAATCAGGGTTGTATCATGTGATTTTAAGGCCCTTGGTGTGCAACCTTTAGGAGATGAAGGATACTCGAATTATTATTATTATTATTATTAATTCAACATCTTCTGGCTCGTCAGAAGACTGCCAATATATATGAGAAGTCGGGTGGTAGCCAACCACGGCGAACTGAATAATAAGGAGAGAAACAAAGAGAGTACTGCAAGGGGAGGCATGACGAAAATGGTGAGATCATTTGGGACGAAGAAGCTGAAGCTTGAACTCCTTAATACTCGAATATTCGATCGGAGAAAATTAGAGTACTCGAACTCGGGATCTCAGTGCCAACTTTCACCCCTACTTATCGGTTGACGCTTTTAACTAGCTGTTCGTCGCTCATTTTTCTTCGAAAAGGCGGTGTAAAAAGCGGGAAAGAGCTACAACTGATAAGCATGCAGATAGTGTCTTATAAGTTTCCATTGAATGTTTTTATTATCTATCATAGGTTGAAATTTTACATTTTGATTTTTTCCCACGTGCTTATCACAGTAAGGTCATGTACTAAACTTAACCCACCGACGAATGGTTCAATTGTAAGCAGTTCCACATCGTCATATGGAATGACCATATTCGAGTGTAATAATGGCTATCAACTGACGGGAAACCGGGCATCTGTATGCCTAGCAAGCGGTGCTTGGTCCAACACAGTACCTACATGTACAAGTATGTTTTTTTGTTGTTACTAACCGTAATCAAGGGTTTTGGTTAAATTTCTCACTGTGACAGAATTTTTCTGACTTTTCCCGCTTCTACCTCCCTCGAACGTATAACTATTGTTAGCATTGGGGTTTTAGTTAGGGCGGCACCGCATTGCTGGCCTTTTTCGTATGAGGTTTGCTGGGTCTATACCAATTTATACCTGACCCATACCCAGCTTTCCAACTCCGTATCAATAAGTAAATAAGAGAAAAAGGAATTATTATTCTGATTCGTAACAGAGGTCGGTGGGAGGTGGATGATAGTATGGAAATGAAGCTGCATTCATGTCCTTAAGAATTCTCTCAATTTTCCACATCCTGTCAGATCAACAAGGCTCGTTTTGGTATGTACCGTTTTGTTCCTTTCGCTTTAAAAGATAGTGAAGAGAATGGCTCAAGTGGGAAAAGACTATGCCGTCAGTAAATCAAAACCAATACAAAACCAATAGCGTTAAGATCAACATAACGACACTTGTGACAAGGTGGCCATTTCTGACCAATTTCGAAATAGCAAATTGTGGATTGACTCTCTGTTAGCTTAAAAGGCTGTTAAAAGAAAGTTTACCATGAGCTAAAATGAAAATTTCATTGCTTGAGATAGAGTCCAAGTGAAGTCAAACATGTTTTTGTTATGCCGGAAAACACGACACCTCGTACTTCTGGTATTTAATGTTATTATACATCTCGTTTGTGAATATAGAAGTCCTTGGGGTAAAAGGTACCTTTTAAAAGGAAAACCGATGACAGTTGCACTATATTGGAGACCAGCAGCTGGCAGTGCGCACAGCGAAAGGGCGACCTCTCGTCAGTTTACGGAGAAATAAAAGAGCATTTGCATGCCATGCTCGTCCTGCAAACTCTACATTTCAGTCTCTCACCCCGGAGATGGCTGCTGCTTGGCCAGCTTGCTGTATTTTTCTCAGCAAGGTTGGTCATTCTTTGACTGCTGTGACAAATACGAGCGAAAGGAGAACGTGGTGTCGCGACTCATAGCAAACGAATAATTTCCGTTCGAGGTCGTGTTCGGGGACCATCTTCGTGATCAAACGTCAAGTAGCAGAGTAGTTCCTGGAAACTATTTTTAGGGATTTTACTTGATTATAATACTTCCTCCGTTAACAAAAACTTCGTGATGGATTTTTGAGGGGCTGATTTGGGCACAAACTGCCGTGAAATGAGTCGCAATCACTTTCTTGGCCTTCCCTGGCATGCCATGAAAGAGGTACGATGCAAGGCAAACGACCTTTCATACCAAGCCGAGCGGAATCGATGGTTGCGCTGTGGAAACATAGGTGATGACAGTCATGGTGAGCGAAACTGAAATACCATTTCTCCGAGGGATATATTGCGCTGCTTGGCCTCTCTACCACTTTAGCACTAAGTAAGTTGGAGAGCGATAAAATGGAGCAGCGAGCCCACACAATGAGCGAGTGAACAAGGAGCTTCTCCGATCGCACGGCTCAATGAAACAAATTCTGAACTCAATTTCTTGTTCAACCTGCGCAAAGCCCAGATTCGAATGATGATCACCATGCATTCTTTCAGGAAGTCTGCAGTCCGATGCGAGTCTCATGGCTAAAGAAAGTCGATTGGACTTGCTAGCCGCTGCCGTTCAGTGCTAGCAGGGGTATCCATTAGAGAAAATGGAATCAGTTTGGCTGTGCCTTTACTCCTCGTTTCGCGGAGTTCTGGATAGCGAAGATGAAACCAGGGAGTCGTAAAAATTAATAATGTTTCACGACTCCCTGGTGGAAACGAGTAATCGCCATCGCGGCGGATCACGCAGCTTGAAAGCCAACTTACTTGAACGACGGCGACATCAAGGTCAGCGGAGTGTGATCAAAGAAGCCGAGGCAAGGCTGAAACCAGCGGAACAACGACTGGAGAGAGATGACGACTCGCGTGCAGCAGATGACGACGCGCGTGCAGCAGATGACGACAGCAACGCAGGTCAAAAATTGGTCGAGCGAAAGCGACGCAAACTGAACTCTCTGCTCATTCCGCCAACAGTGTCTCTTGTAAAGACGCTGTACATAGCCTGAATCACCTTCGTCCAGTGATTTGCAGTCGATACAAACTGTTGTTGGCCTGTTCTAAGCGTTTACATATCCATCAAAATCCATCACGAAGTTTTTGTTAACGGAGGAAGTAATTATTATGGCGTCCATTCCTATCCAGCCGAAGGGCCGTCGGCAAACTATACAGAGGACGCCTCTTGCGGAAATTTGCGAAACAAATACCATGACATTGCCTTCACTCAAAGTAGAGTCCTCTCATATTTTCTGTTTTCCCTCCTACCTTGTGCTCTTGAGCATGACATGGATCATATTCTGGTCAATAAATGCAAGTGATGCATCTGCCCCATCTTCAAAATTGTGAATATTCCGGAAAAGCCCGCAAACTTCGGAAGCAACAGCCTGCTGCAAGCATTCGCGCTTGGTTGGTGCAACAAATTTCCACTATCTACAAACTTTGCCTGAAAACCCAGTTTCATGAAGGAAATCCTGCCCGAGTTTTGGAGATTGATGTTCTGTTATGTGTATGGCTCCATAGCTTTATCACCACCATTATCCGCTTGCCCCCTCGACTCGGGTCCCAGATCAGACTGATCGAGAAGCCAAGGCAATTAGTATCCACTCATCTTCATCTGGAGCATATAACCATGTGTCTCTGTGCTCGATCACTTCTAATTGCTCGCGCACAAAGCTCCAGGCACTCACCTCGCATTCATCCCCAAACTCCTGGCCAAAACATTCAAAATCAAATGAAATGCTTTATCGGCAGCGACACTGTGCCTACTGAACATGGCTTCCGCCAGACCAAGGTAAACTCAAAGGAAGTTCCTAGAATATTTTAGCTGCCTTGGCATTTCATATCGTTCTATGCTGCATATAACATAATGGATCACTTTACAAGCTTCGGACGAACAAATTTGTCTGTTTCGGCACGATTCAGGAATACGATTATTGACCATAACGACACGTGAAATATGTGTATGTACAAATCACCACCTTCATGGTCCCCAATCTCCTTGCTCCCAAAATGTATTCCTCTTCGCGTTATTCACGTGTAGTTCTTAGCCAAATTCGCCCTCTTCTGGATGCCTATAGTATGTGGAATGATATGATGCCGGGCGGGACTAGGTAGCACCCCCTGGCATTTCGGAGCTTTACTGACTGCTAGTATTTGAAAACATAACCCACTGTCACTAACAAAATACAAAATAAATAAAAGTCACCAAATTTGGGGAAATTCTAAGCCCCCTAATAACGGCAATCCCATTTTGAAATTCGCAAATGCATCATATGATTCCTCCTCTCATCAATGGTGCAATACCCAGCAGCACGCATGACCTTGGCGGTGCTACATACTTCACCTTAAACGCAGGCTTTGCAATGATGGGGAAAAGTGAATATGTGTGCACAATATCTGGATCATGGTCGCAGCCAGCACCGACTTGCCAAGCTTACGATATTGCATAAGCACAATTTCTCAATTGCGGAAGCCAAAATTGCATTACTTGCAAGTAGCATAGAATTTTTAACAATGGTTGCTTCCAGTAACTTCTTGATATCTATCCCGCTTACTGTGTGAAGCAAAATTGTGCCGAGCCTGAAATTACCGATTTGCAAATATTGACCCAAAGAGCGAGTCTTAACGGCCCTGCCAGTACACACCTGTAATTAATTTTGCTTTCCGGGTCTTTTGTTTTGTCTATAGAACTACGTACAACGGCGTCTCTCACCACAACCAATATTGTGGCAGCATGCATAGGCTTTTTTGCTGGTTTGCTTGTTCCTGGTTGTCTGATCCTGGTTGCATTAGTGCGACGCCGACGCAAGTCCACGTCCAAAACGGTAGCAGAGACCAATAATACCCTGCCAACTGGTGTAATTGGTAACCATATGACGAAGAGCGAGGCGTACGAGATGACCCCAGCTAGCACTATAGCAACCCAGGAGCCCCAGTATGAATCATTGGGGCACATCTAATTGCCAATGTGTGCTTGGTTTGTCTGCGTCTCACCGACGCGTGTGCATCCGCAGAAGATGCAAGTGCGAAGAAAAAGACTGACCACAGCTTGGTCAAATGCGCTGGCTTGTGGTTGAAATAATGCTGTCTTCAGAAATTGTTGTCCAGTTCCTTTGTCTCAACTTCTCCTGTGTTTGGAATCTGTCTCTTTCGATCATTTGCCACTTCTCTGGCCCTGTTGCCCATTGCCTCTCTGCAATTTCAATGCCCGTTTCAAAAGAAAAATGCAAGTAACAATAAGCCAAGTCCGAACCCGTTAACTCTCGGTCACCTACCCGTTCGCTTCACATTTTTGTGCTGTAGTACGTCAATTGTTTTGATCTATCGCATACCATTTCACCTTTCCTGTTGCCTCTGCTGACTCTAATTTAAACATCTTTCCATTCAATGCATCATGCATTGCACCAGACTGACATCGATAATTGTTGTCAATGGTCGGCAGCAGCTGCCATCAGTAAGTTTTTTCCCAACACTTTCAAAAATATATTTGGCAACGAATGGCGTGTGTATTCAGAACTCTGATCTTCAATGTCATCGCGGCGTGAATACCACTCCTTCACGACGTTTCTCTGTCCATATCACCGCTATCTCCCATAAGGTTCGCTGCCAGTTCTCCTATTGCGCCGCATAGCCTTTTTCTTTCTGCACCAACTGTGAACGTTTCTTTATAATTTTAATTATGTTATGTGCAATACTCGTCAGACTGTGCAGTCCCGGGATGGTTGTTTGCCGTTTCCTTCTCACTTTTAATGGATTCGCTGCATTAACATGTGCTTTTATCATCAAAACATTTCAGTACGCAGCAGTTGTCGAGTCTCATTGGTTGGTCTGAAGAGGTGACAGTTCTTGTACTTGTAGGATTGTTTAGGTACTTTCCCTGTTTCCTATTCTTCGGCTGCGTGCGTCTAAGCAACTCATCAACCCAGCTTGTTCCTCATTCTTTCTTTCATTTGGTCGAAGCTACAAATAGTCAAGCTTGGCTCGTTATGTCAAGGCGAATAGCTGACTATACAAAACGATCCACTGATTTGGGGAATGGAAAAGGGAAAAGTGTAAAGAGATTATGGACTCCATGACCTACTACTGACCTATCCATGGTAGATCTGTCATCCGACCAGAGCCTGTTCAACATCCTCTGCAGACATCAAATCTCCCATTTCCTGTGAACCTACACAGGCTGGTGACGGGCAGCCCTCACTGTATGCACACATTTCACGTTCAAACTGCATGAATGTATGAATATTCCAGACGACACAGAGCACCACGCATCATGCGTTGAAAACACATTAATTGTCTGATAATAGCCTGTGGGCAAGAAATTACTACCTGCAACAACTGAGGCGTGGTGATGTTTTTCATGCGAAAGATGACTCTTATTATTCTCATATCCGAACCCAATGGGACTTACAACTACATACTTGACTGCGAGCATGTATGTGTGAGAGTGGAAAAACAAATTGAACAAGAGTCTTGTAATAAAGGTCAATTTTAAATGGCTGAGCAGAAAATACTCCATTGTTTTCTCTCATGGGCATAACTGCCGATAAAATGCAGAAACCTGTAAGGCGAACGTTTGGCTGGAGACTTGTGGTGAGGTATGAGGAGAAGTCAGTCAGTGTCGTGCATTGTTATCGCATGAGTTGATTGTTTAGTAACTGTTGGTGTTAGTGGACATTATAATGTAAATTGTAGTTCCTTTGATTCGCGAAAAATACGGAAAATATATCGACGGATTTGCGTACCGAGCAGGTCAAGAACAAGGAGTCGTACAACTCCCTGGTCAAGAACCACCTTTCCGCTTCCGTGGGACGCCACCACCCCATGATCGGGCGTCAGATGCGGCTCCTAAACGGTGGGGGAGGATAGATCAGATCCACCAACAAGAGGCCAAAGGCCTAAATCCCATTTGCCACACCCATGCACAAGTCCAAACTGGACCTATTTATCTTTTTCGTGTGAAACGCCCTGGACTGTGTGCATTGAACACTTTGCCGGCAATTGACAAAATTACTCATTTGTAATAGAATACTTATACAAACAACATGTCTGGCGGAATCACGTGAATCACGAGAATCATTTTAGGTGCGGCTTGCTCCACGCCATGTCTTTAGGTCCACTGCCATTGTGCGGACTTCGTCATCATCTACAGCGGTTCTAGGTCAGTACACCGAAAACCAGCTCGCCAAGCGACATTTTTGTTGCCGGAAACTGGTCGAGAACGGCGTCGATGCTCGGACAATTCTCGACAGGTGCACTTCGCCGCATGGCTGTTTAGGCGAATTCTTGTCTTTTACATATCTGGTGCCATATTATAGTGAAAATGTTATCCTGGCCCTCAGATTATCAAAAAGACCTTGAAACCATGATAACGAATGCCTCCCGCCGTGCATTTTCACTAGTGTACATGTCCAGTACCACCAGTGCCCAAAAGTTAGCTGATACCTGTACATGATGGTGTTGGTGGACTACTTGTCGGCTGCATTTCGGGCTCTATGCTCTGTTCGCGTCAGAGCTGCGGAAAACGCTAAGCTTGCCATGGGTCTGGCTTTTCCCCAGTGACCCCAGTGACCCCGGGACGATCTCTAGCTAGCTCTGGGTCACGTCCGATTCTTTTGGGTTATCGCATGTTGATTGTACTCCTTACCTGAGTCCTGTGGAACGTATCCATCCGCGCGAGCTCCGACATCCGTAGGCCTAAAATGCCGCAGTGGTAGGTAAGAACAGGGATGACGTAGGCGTTGTTAAGCCTCCGCCGAAGACCTTGACTGGTCTGGCATCTCCGAAGGGCAATAAAATACAGTTCTTGTGGAACAGGGCCTTCATATGTGGATATGCTGTATTTTGCAAAGCTTTGTCCAGGTCACAAGGCCACAGGTGTTTTCCTCCTGTCAACCAGTTTGTTTATTTTGCTAGAAGTAGACTAAATTGTATTTCTGGACGTGCGCGAAAATGGCGCGCATCTTGACATTGTTAGTGCGGAAGCTAGTCAAATGCGCGAGTGTTTCACATCAGCAGAAAAGCTTTAAATTAAAAAATAAATAAAACAATCTCTCCTTTCTATTCGTTTGTTCTGTGTGCTGTGTATTAGTAATCCGGCTTTTGATCACTCTCAGCCCTCTGATCGTGTTCTGCTGGTTAGACTCATACTGTGTAATCGATGCTCTTAAACTAGCCCAACAAGTCGGTCTTGCCCGCTGCTTGTTGCCGGCACCTGAAAAGGTCTTCCATGGTGTGTTTGGCCAGCTGTACGCCCTATGGCTGCGTAGAGATAAACCAGCAGAGAAGACACGCTTACGCCTGTACAACGCTATCGCACTGGCAATATTCCTGTACAATTGTGAGACCTGGGAATTATCGTAAACAGCAATAGCCAAGGCGGACGAGTCCCAACCGCGTCAAATGCCATCATTACTTGGAATACGATACCGTAGAACCAAGAGCGACCCTACATGTATATCAGACAAAGTTGCATGTAGGCGAGTACGAATGGAACAAGTACGGAGCACTAAATGAGCAATATCGCTTTTATGCACCAAGACGTGCCACTGGCCCTCTACCCAAATTGCAAGCCTAGGCCACCCCAAATTTCAACTCTGTCCCTTTTCCGTTAACCTTTTATATGAAACAGTCCACTAACGTCCTACCACAGCGCCAAGCTTGATCCACATCCTGCTAACAAACATTCCCCTGTACCCTTTCTTTGTCCAACCTTCCGCTCTTCTCGGACTGCTGTCAACTCGGTTGTTTTATGGAATTCCCGCAATGGCAGCAAATACGAAAATTTTTAGCGGAAAGAAAAGGAGCAATGAACTTACTAGCAGTCAAGCTATACTTTCCAGTAGCACCAACAGTTGCAGGACACTATAATCATAATATACGTGGGTCATGGACCTTCTTCTTTCCTTTAAAATTATCCTTCCCTATCCACCCGATTCAAGTATGAAGGCGCTTGAATTCGTTATTTTTATGCACTACAGCAAAAGTTCTCAGCAATGCTTGGAACTTGTGTATCACAACGACTTAATGTGCTTCCGATATGATGATTCAATATTGTTGCAACTTTATAAAAAGGACCAAGGAAGTACACGTTACTCTGTAATGTCCGTTTAAACCACAAGTTACTAAACAATCAGCTCATGCGATAACATTTCACGACACTGCCCTACGGTACTGATGTTCGACAATTAACTGGCTAACAGTTACCTTAGAACCTTCCAAATTGGAGTTGTTGGAGTGTGCATCCAAGATGTGCTAAACCTGTTAGCTGTAGAAAGGAGGGTACGGTCACGCAGGGTAGTGCAATATTGTCGCATGAGCTGATTGGTTAGTAGCTGGTAGCTTTAGTGGACACTACAGCCTAACTTGCAATTCCTTTGTCCTTTTTTTCTTTTTAATAAAATTATCCTTGGTTCTCCATCCGAGTCTATTGTCGCAATTGAGGTTTGTTGCTGAACTGCCTTTCAGACTCAATCCTCCTCGTCTTATTCATGCTCAACGAACGTATGCTGGATTTCCGGAAACATTGTGTATTGATCCAGGTGTGATACTTTCTTGACGCTTGGCTGATTAATTTACCATGTGCTTTTGGTGAACAATGGACAGTCGAAGTCAGTAGCCTGTCAGGCCAAATGAAAGGAAAGCACGAACGTGCTTGTAGCGCGCACCCAATTTAACAACATCCGAACAACTGGAATTCCGAGATACAATTGCAGGTGAATCAGAACCCGACAAAGGCACCAGCTGGGTTACACGGTGCGAAAAATTAGCTTCCGTTTTTTCTCCATTGTTATCATTTACGGACCTGAGCAATGGCAAGGTTAAGTCTAGAGAGTGATTGCGATGCACTTATATATTATCAGTTGCATACTCTCGCTTCTTAGTTACATTGCCTGAAGGTACTCCAAAGTGAAACGGGCTGCAAGTGTTCGACTGAAGCCTATCGACTTCAAGTGTTTGATGGCGCCATTGTTGTGATTATTGAGAACAGATTCAGCTAAACCTACCCATTGCTTACGCTGAATGACTGGGTTGCGCGACCATCCAGCACGTATGTATAATATAAGGTGTCTCTGGTGCTAGAAGGGAGGTGAAATGTGTTATGTTCTATAAGCTTTTATAGGGATAAATAACACTCCTTTACTTGAATTTATCAGCAAGGAGGTGTGTGGAAAGTTTGTCGGATTAAATAATTCATCCTTTGATAACAACTGAAGATTATAAAAGAACGCCGCAATGTGTTGATTCAGGAGCCGATTTATTGAAAATTCGTGACGGGCAAAGCATATCCCACAGACCAACTCTGGTGTACCATCAAATAAAGTGCTTTTCGAGGTACGCCAATGTCCTATGTATATTTGGATAGACTGTGAACTACCCCCCCCCCCGCCCTCCCGCGCTTCCTTTGGAGAGAATCAGACTCTGGGATCTTATTCGCTCATGAATGTTCTCGCTGGACAAGAAATACAAGTATCATATCGAATTGTTCTCTCTCGGACGAAGAGTGAAAGACAATTTTATCGAAAATAACAAGGCTCATGGAGTGCCCATCCAAGTTGATAACCAGTTACTTGTAGACCCTCAGTACCGTATCAGTGCCATGCAATGTTATCGCATGAGCTACTTGTTTTGTAGGTGGTGGTGGTGTTATTGGACATCATAGCCCGACCTGTAGTTCATTGGTGCTTTTTCCTTTCTAAAAATTGTTCATCGCGGCTTCTATTTGGCAAAGAAATTAAGTTTCTCCGTACTTCGAAATACAATGTACATGCAACTTTGCTCATTTGCTTGGTTTCTTTTCTTTTAAATTCGTGACAGTTTTACTTTAAATTACCTTACAATATCTTACTTGAATAATCGCTTTCGTATCATGCAGTTCCTTTCACAACTACACCAATCTGGCAGGATTCTCTCGATCCTTAACATATCCAGGAAGAGGGCTCATGAGGAATTCTAGTACTACTTTTACAACTTCGAGCCCCTAGAAAATCTGACCACTTTCTAGCTAAGAACGACTGGTGGTTTTCTTCCCCCGGTTCCGGAAACAAGAGACCAGAAGCTGCGACATCTGGGAGCCACTATGCACAACGATTAGCTTCCGTTTCTCCTATAAAATTACTTTAGAAAGGGTAACACCGGCCAAGTAAAGCCTTCCAAACGACTCATATGTACAATTGTATTTAGATTAATGAAAAGCAACTGTGCATATGGTCGATATTCCCCGAGGCTGAAATTTCATTCCAATGGGAGAGCTGAGGTTGAGTCATTGTGCAGTTTAAACTCACTCACCGAGGACTTGGTTTGCCATTAAATTTGGTTCGCGATCGCTACAAGTTGCAGCCATGGATAAGGGGAACAACATATGACACGGTTTGAAGCTGAGTTCGCTTCCAAACTTTCGGCATAAACAGCAGAGTCGGCTCAGAGAAACTCTTAGGCCAAGATCGCAAAGATGCACTACATGTTGGTCAGCTACGAAATGCCCGTCGTTCCTATGGCCCACAATGTCCACTAACACCACCAGTTACTAAGCAATCAGCTGTGGAAACAGTGCACGTTGCACGACACTGACCAACAGTACCTATACGTCGAAACGATCTTCGTGTGAAACTGCTGCTTGTGACCGCTGCTTATTGTCCAACAAAATAGTCACAGTCGAAGTAAATTGCTTTTTGACTGAGGCATTCGGTTTTGGATTATTCATTGTTCACATCGCTTTCCCACTTTACCCACCTACGCTATCAGGAGGTGGAAGTGTAGTGAAATGATGTGTTGTTTTCCTTTGTGATGGCATTCCCCAAACTGTCCCGTCTAGTCGCGTGCGTGTGTGATATGAGCATGGCAGATTTTATATTCGACAGTCCTTTGGTCAGTCTTCTTGTTCTTCTCTTTGAGTTTAGTCTTCATTTTCGTCATGTCAACAATATACTGTAAAACAAACTAGTCTGTCCTTTGTGTCCTGCGTCCCGGGGAACGGAATACCTGTGATTCCGCAGCAACGTGATGCCGAAACCCGGAACGCAGAGGATGAGTTAGTTTGTCGTGAGTCTGTTCGCCGTCGTCATCAACAAGAAAGAAAGTATAGGTAACAAGTAAGCGGGAGCGTAGCAAAATCAGGAGAGGAGCTGGTATGGGCCCAAGAGGGTGGACGAAGAGGGAAGTGGTGAGCCGTCAGAATCTGGGGACTGGAGCCTGGGATGGAAGGTATTGCATGGAGCATGTGGCTCGCCAGGGGCCAGTGGGTCTGGCATCATCGACTGCGTGTTGTCCTTTGTTGTTCGTCTTTTTGTTGTCTTGCTCGCTGTGTTGTCTGATCGTGTTTCTCTCGCTGTTCAGTTCGTTGCTTGTTGTTGTATTGTTTGAGTTTGGTTGGTGTCGTTCAGTTGCTCTTCTCGTAGTTCTGTTATTCTGCATTGTTTTGTGTTGTAGGTTAATTTTGCGCTGCTGCGCGCATGGCACTATTTGTTGGAGCTTCGGCCCTTGCGTTTCAGTTGGCCTTGTTTGCCTGTGATTAGAGCATCGGCTCTTGTTTTTTTTGCCCTGTGGTTTGGCCTGGCTGTAGAGCGACGTTGTCGGCTCTGGTGTTTTTGGTTTGGCCCTGCGTCATGGCCTGGGTTTTGAAGCGTCGGCTCTAGGTTTTTGTTTGGCCCTGTGCCGTGGCCTGGTTGTAGAGCACCGGCTCTAGGTTTTTGTTGTGTTTGGCTCTGTGTCGTGGCCTGGTTGTAGAGCGTCGGATATAGTTTTTTTGGCGGCCCTGTGTCGTGGCCTTTTTTTCTTTAGAGCGTTTGCTCTGAGTTCTGTTGGCTCTTTTTAGCTTGTTGTGCTACAATGTAAGCTGGTTTTGATTTTTCTCTCTTGCTGTGATTACTTTTGCTCTTGTGCATGTGGAACGTGGTGTCGGTTTATTATTTTGTGGAATGTCATCTAGGGGGCAAGTGTTGTGAAATGATGTGTTGTTTTCCTGTGTGATGGCATTCCCCAAATTGTCTCGTCTAGTCGCGTGCATGTGTGATATAACATTGCTCGATTTTATAGTCGAGAGTCCTTTTGTCAGTCTTCTTGGTCGTCTCTTTGCGTCTTTAATTCCGTCATTTCAACAATATCATGTAAAACAAACTAGTCCTGTCCTTTGTGTCCTGCGTCCCAGGGAACGGAATGGCTGTGATTCCGTAAGAGAAGGCTGTTGGAGTGCGCATCCAAGTTGTGCAGGAGGTGTTAGCCAGTCAGTTGTAGTGCGTCGGTACGGCTGGTTCTTTATATTTTCTATAAACTAAGAAAGAATTTAGAATTGGAAGGTTAAATCAGGGGAGCGACCGGTCTAAAAAGAGAAGAAAAAACAACAGACCCACTAGGACTCGAACCCTGGACATTGCTTGTGGTGAGCAACGCTCTAGCCAAATAAGCTAGTGGACAAGGTGAAACTAGAACATGAGCAATCAGTATGTGTGGCTCATTGTGGGAGGTGCCTTTGGAGCGAAAAAATGTCAGCGCCTTCTACTAACGGCCTAGTCCAATACTAGTAGCTCAGTTTGTTTGTTTGGATTTTTTCTTCTCATGATGACCCCATCGCCAAATAGGAGACCCGTTCATTACAAGGTGAGATGCTGTGGGTGAGGCTGCGGGTTATGGAGTTGGAAAGTATGAGCGTTGCCAGAGCAGATTGAGTTAATCAGTAGGGAGTTGATTTTGTGTTTGAAAGCGGGTCGGGAGAGAACGTCATGAATGCTGGCAGAGGAGGCATTTTAGTATTCTAGGGACTTGAACAGTGGGGAGTGTTTACAGGTAGTAAGGGCATTGCTGAACACAAGCATGGATCGAGCCCTGGTAAGGATAAGCCCGGCATCTTTTCGCTTTTCAGAGGTTACTAAATACATGTGGATGTAGATATTATTACTCAATCTGCGGACAGCATTCTGCTTCGCTCTTTGTGAACTCATCAGCGCAGCACAGAGAAAATAAGGCCAAACCTGATAGCAATGAAAATAAAATCTCCAAAGCCAGATTTAAACCAGGCCCGAACGTTCCTTGCCAGAGTGTTCAAACTGACGACTCAGTGAGCTCTGCGTAATGCAACCAGCAAAGGCACTACCTCACATGAAAGTGCTAAACTACTACAAGAGCAGGAGCGAAAATACTCGATCTGCGAACAGCATGCTGTTTCGTTCTTTGTGAACTCATCAGCGCGGCACAGAGAAAATGAGGCTGAACCTAAGAGCAATGAAAAATATAGTTTCCAAAGCCAGATTATAACAAGGTCCAAACGTACCTTGCCAGAGTGCTCAAACTGACAAGTCAGAGAGCTCTCCGTAATGCAAGCAGCAAAGGCAATGTAGATATTATTTAATATTCTTTGGCATGAACTGCAACGAAGGAAAGAGACACAATGAGAAAGCGAGGGAGAGAAACAGAGGCGGAAACAGCAAAATACAGTAAGAGAGAGACCGACGGAAAGATAGCCTTGTAGAGTGGTACAGAGAACGAAAGAGAGAGAGAGAGAGAGAGAGAGAGAGAGAGAGAGAGAGAGAGAGAAGGAGACAGAAAGAAATAAATGTTGACAGAAGTACAGAGTGATAAGACAGAAATAAAGAGAGAGGAACTAGGAAGGACAGAGCCATAGAACGAGAGGGAGTCGCAACGGTTTACAAAAAGGCAGTGGGGCACTTAGATGAAGAAAAAAGAAGGAAAGAGTGGAGAAGGAGTAAGTTGGAGACGTAGAAAGAGATAGTAAAAAATGAACCCAAAAAAAGAAATTTGAAACTCGGGATTTGATCCAATAGTAGTAGTAGTATTGACATATACGCGGCAAGCCGCTTATGTACAACGGCATGGGAGAGGATAACAAAAAATGAGAATATATTGTTGGGGAAATCCACGCTATTATCGAATATTCAACAGTGACGGGTGTGGGGTTATACAAAAATCCCATAATGTGGAAGTAAAATGTAGAAAGGAAAAGGACATAATGGAAACGAGTTAAGAGTAACTCTCCACCACTGTAACTAGATACTACTCAATCTGCGGACAGTATACTGTTTCGTTCTTTGTGAACTGATCAGCGGAGCACAGAGGAAATGAGGCCGAACCAGATAGCAACGGAAATAAACATTTCCAATCAGGCCCGATCGTACCTTGCCAGAGTGCTCAAACTGACAAGTCAGTGAGCTCTGCGTAATGCAAACAGCAAAGGCACTACTCCATATGAGAGTGCTCAACTAGATACTATATACATTCGGAAAGTGCAACAACTAGGCACAAAACCTGACAAACTGACAGTACTCTGTCAGTTTGTTTGGTGCCTAGTTGTTGCACTTTCTGACTGTATATAGTATCTAGTTACAGTGGTGGAGAGTTACTCTTAACTCGTTTCCATATGTCCTTTTCCTTTCTAATGAAAAAATATGCACTTAAGAGTCCGTAAAAGGAGTGCGATTTATTGAGAATGCTAACGACGTTTCCAGTAATACCTATCCACAGTGAACCGGCTATAAGGTATTGGCCATTTCCTGAAAATGAAAACGATTATATCATTGTACCTGTACAACAAGGTTCATTATTAATGTATCATTATGATCCATCATTGAGGCCCACCACTAAATTTACATCCTGAGAATAGCTAATGCTCACGATATTTTATGCGGAACTCACAAAATTCATGTTAAAAACTGATTTCCTTTGCAAACCAAGTAGCACTCCTTACATCACCACCCTTATATTTTCAAACGCCCGGGATTTCTAGTCAGCTGGCAATCGCTCTATCCTTTGTTCTTCATGCAATTAAGCACGATATAGTTATTGCAATACTCCATTGATCCATCAGAACTATAGTTCACACCCGACGCCAATTTACATCAGATATGCACGCTTACTCTACGGAAATAAGATCGTCCAATAGGGAGAGGTTCGCCCAGCTTGAAGAAAGAATTTGGTGCTCATTTGTCATGGGCCAGCCCATTGCGAAATGCCCAGTTTGGCTGGGTTTTGCGAAATCCCCAGTTTGGCTGGGATTGTGGAGAATGCAGCTTACTGGTTCAGTGAGTAGACGGGTAATTGAAGTAATGTCGAACTTACCACCTGGGCGCTCTGACAAAAATTCATCTCAACATCGCTGGAAAACTGTATTTACCAGCTTTCCAAACCGGTGCAAACTTGTGAAAATCTGGTAATTATTACACATACATGTGCTTGTAGTTACGGTAGTTTTTTTACAGAGGTTCAAGCGCACATATTTGTACTTTCTACATAGGATGAAAGCCGCAGACATCACGCAACTACGTTACATGTTCGGCATGTTTGGGATTTTTTTAACAATAATAATTATTATTGAAACCCAGAATCGATTTTCTAGTTCCTATCATCAGTGGGAAAAATACTGAACTAAAGGATACAACCAAAGACACTGAAGTAAAGTACTGTTATAGAAAGATGTTAGATTTTAGAAATAACATAATGATAAATAACATCATGATACATCATGATACATGATACAAGTGCAATAAATACGCTAGGAAACGCAAAAGGTAACTAGATTACGTAACCAAAGGTGAGAAAGCACTGAACGAAGTGTAAACCTATGAATACAGCCTCAGCGCAACAATGTGCTTTTTTTGCTTACACAAAACAGGCTTATGAATACGTATAGAAACTGCCTCAAGGATTTTCAACTGCTGAATATCACGCGCACGACACAGTACAGAAAAATGATATAACACATACATGTCGAACAAGTAACGTAGTTGCGTGATGTCTGCGGCCTTCATCATGTCTATAGCTATACATATTTAAATTATTATCTCCACGTAGATTATTTACATAAATTTAAAGGAAACTCGATCGCAAAATTTGTGTTTCGAGCGAAAAGTCGAGAAGTCAGAGGAGTCGTTTCAACATTAATAAAAACACATGACCATTTTCTGCTTCGATTCAGGATGCACTGGCTTGCAATGGGTCAACTTCGCTGTTTCGCTCTGGTGGTTCTTGCTCTAAGTCAAATTTGGTTGGAAGGAAATGTCGAGGGCCGCTTCTCTTATGTTGGTAAGTGACAGTTGAGGTGTAGGTGCGTCGAGTGATCGTCTTAGACAGGTTTCACTGTAATAGTCTAAGTCCAACATTGGGGTTTCTTCAGTGGAATGTGATTTGTTGGTAAAAACTTAAAGGGCGCAAATCCAAGCTTTAATTAGCGGCACAAGTGTGGAGAGAAACATATCCAGCTTGAAAGTTTTGCTTTGTCCAGGCCGCCCCAATAGCTGGGATCCAGTAAGGGTTAGTTCCCCTTAGGCATCAGCCACATTCTTACCTGTCGTTTTTTTGGTTTCATTAATAATTAAACACAAACATACGTTTTTAGCGGTGAAAGATTATAACCCTTTCACCACTAATGGGCGCTTTCGATTGCACGTTTAAACAATTCTGGAACTGGGTTTTGTAATTCTCGAAT